CTGACTCTCTCCTTCCCTAGCTGCAGCTAACTCGGGTCGGGAAAATGCGACAGCGACTGCCCACTCGAGGTCGTCATGGCGACAGCCAGTGAACGTGTTCCTCTCCTCAGGCAGGCCCCCGAGTGTAGAGGAGCTGCTTCGAGAGGCGCAGCTCAATCTCCAGAGCCTGTTGCAAGGTACTGAAGAGGGAGGGGGGCTGCGGCCGGAGCCCAGAAGCAAAAGGAGCTGCGCAACAGCAGGAGGGAGGCGAAGAAGAGGATAGGGAACAGCGAAAGAAAAACAGAAAACACTTCTAAGCCTTTTGAAAAACAGAGCTCCCGTCTTCCATCTTTCTTTTCAGCTTCCAGGCGATGATGCTAAGAGGATTCTCATTTCCAGGGCTGTTTCCCGCTTCCTCATTTTTCAGTTCAGTGGTCCATGGGGGCAAAGGGTGGAAGCTGAGGCAGGGCAGTAGATCCATCCTTTCACCAAGAGAGCTGGGTGGGAGACTCCCATAGTGTAGGCCCTCCAGCTCTCCTTTTTCCACACCCCCCCATGCCTTTCGGATCCTCACACCAGAAGACAAAAGGGGCACTGGCAGGGTCTCCCACTGTGGGTTTCACGCACTCTGGCTCCTGCAAGAACCTTGTCCACGTGCTTCCTGGGTAGCTTACTGCCTCACCCACATAAGCCCAATACACTGCACCCAGAATTCACCTATTCACCTCTCTTTCTACCTCAGGTTTCCAGATGCACCTGGCACCAAGAGGTGCCCAGTGGATGCTAAATGCACAAAGAGGTCTTAGCTCTTGTTTATCTAACACCAGCAAAGGTTAACATCAATGGACAATAGAAACCAGCCGATGGGCCTGCCAACTGGACTGCAGCCATAACCCCCGCCTCCTTGCCAGGGCAGTGGTGACCTTAGAGAATCAAGATGCTGAGGGACACTATGAGCCTTGTATTCAAATAAGAAGCTGCCATGCAGACAAAAAAATAAAAAAGAATTGGTGTGCTCTATGTTGCTGCCATTGGCAGAATTAGGACCAGTGGGTAGAAATCTAAAGGGAGGCAGATCCCACCTGCTGATAAGGAAGAACTTTTCTGACATGGTTGACAGCCCCAACTGTCTGTGGAAGGAAGGAGCTCCCCTTCTTTGCAGGTGTGTGTAAGGAGGCTGGAAGAGCACCAAGAAAGCTGAAAATCACCCCAGCTGCTGAGGAGGGAATCTGAGTAGAGACCAGAAACATAAGAGCAAGCCCAAGTTTCTATGATTCTCAAAGTCTTTGTCCAAATATACATAGAGCCATGAACGTTTGTTCTTTACTCTCACTTTCTTCATTTATTCAACTAGCCATCACTTTTGTCAAACCCATTCAATTTTATACATCCTCCTTCCTTGATGATGCCCCTGAACTTCTCCCTCTTGTATGCCATTATATTCCCTTTCCTTTCTTTCCCCTCAGCCTACCTTGCCCTGACCCCACCCACAGTGGAACTAGGCCTCCAAAAGTTCAAGTAAGGGTTCTGTGATCCACAAGAGAGCCCCAGCCTGGACTTTCCAGTGAAGAGCTCTTCTTGCTTCACACAGACCATTTCCTTAGTGGGGTTGCAGAAAACCTGAAAAGCTGCTCCGAGTTGAACACTTCAGGTGGGGACCATTAAGATGAGGGCTTGATCCCCAAATGCAGCACAGCTTGAATTTATTGACTTTCGTTTCTCCTGTGCCCTCACAATCCTGGGAAACAGCCAGTTTTCTATTTCTAAATCCAGTGGATTAGACACAGAGAAACAGCCCAAAGCAGCAGTGCAAGTCAGGCCTGGCAGCTGTTTCAGGAGCCCTGGCTCTTGGTCCTCCCCCAGCTCAGTGCTTGGCTTTGGCCTCCTAGAGTGTGTCTCCACTGTGCTATTTTTCAGAAGAATATGAGGAACAGTACTCAGAGGCCAGACTTCTGGGGCAGACCTTCCGCTCTTCTGATGAGGCCCCTGAGCCCACCCCCAGCCCAAGGCTCCAGTCTGCCAGGCGTCTGGAGTTTGTGTTGATGGTGAGTTGCCTCTTCCCCAACCTGGGAGAGCCAGCTTACACCCACTGACAGGGAACCTCAAGCTGCTTACGTTACCCGCTGGCAGCTGCTGCTCACCAACAGAGCTACGTGGGGCCCCATGGGATGGGTTCTGAACAGTGGGCGCCAGGCCAGGAGGCCTGTCCACACTTTCTTCCCTCCCAGATGAAGCCTCTGACCACTCTGCCTAGACATCCATCCCGTGGGCCCTGGCTCACTGCTAGTTTGCAGCATACCTTTTCCGTCACCTTTTCTTCCTGCAGCCAACAAAACGGCAGCTGAGTGAGGATGAGACTACCACCCAGGGTGTGAGGGCCCCCGAGGCCACCCTGAGCCTGTCTACAACCAACAAGCAAATTGCCTGGAATGGCCCCTTCCCTCTACCCATCCTACAGGAGAAGCGGTGGCCTCAGCCCTGCTCCACGCAGTCTGACCTTGTGCCCATCAACATCTCTGGTAGAGTTGCTTAGCGCCACCTGTTTGCTTCCCTCCATGCCACTACAACCGATCTCCTCCAAATGTACCATTGCTGGGGAGGGAGGGCCACTCTCTTTGCTACTGGCTCACCCTGCGTTGTCACAGTCATGGCTCATGCCAGGGAACAGAGGCATGCAGAAGAGGGGGCTCTGGGTGCTCTTCCTTCACTCCCTACTGACACTGCTGTTCTAACTGAAACCAAAAAACTTTCCTAACCAAAAGCTCCAAAACTTAATGAACTTGGGTGCTCCTCAAAGCATACGTGGAAGTTTAAAGTTTGTGAGTTGTGCTTGGTTTAGGGAAAGAATGTCTTGTGTCCAAAGCCAGGTTTGGAGTATACAGATAGGAGTTGAGGGAGAAAGCAGGGTCAGAGTGCAAGTGGTAAAGCAGACAGTGACACAGGGACACAGACCAAAGGCCTTGTGGCCCTTTCACTAAATACTAGATATTCTAGTGAAGTGGGGTTCCTCAAGTTTTTCAGAAAAGGGAAGTAGTAGAAAGAGGCTGAGGCCAAAAAAGGGGGTGGGTAAAGGAGTGGTGGCACACATGTGTAGTCCTAGCCCTTGAGAGGCTGACGCTAGAGGATCATGAGTTTGAAGCCAGCCTGAACTACATAGCAAGAGTTTGCCTCAAAAAGAAGTGGGGTGAGCAGTATGACCTTGAGAATGGAGAAATGATTTACGTAGCCCGGCTGGCTATGACTCGGGAACACGTGGCACACTATGCCATTACTCATCCCTGTTCCCCTCTCCATTGACTGTAGAGGAAGAGCAGGAAGTTGAGTCACATCAGAAGATTATAGGACGAAGGAGCTGCAGGAAGCAAGACCTACACAGCCCAAAGGGACCAGAGGTAGATTGCAAGGCAGCACTAGCCCATGCTATGCTTGAAGACAGTGAGGATAGCACTGGCCACGTGTGGTAATGCTCTCCGGATATGAGGTCATCCAATACCTCTAGAGTCATTTTGGAAAATGATAGGCAAGAAATAAAGCCCATGAGCCCGGGAAATGTACCAAGAGCAGTACGGTCCAATGAGGAGAGGTTCACAAAGTGATGCCAGACACTGTTTCTAAACAGGTATCTTACCCTCATTGAGGCTGACCCTGAGTTTTGCCCATAGGCCACTTGCTGGGGTGTGTGCAGCCATGTGTCTGGTAAGGGAGAGTCTGCTTCACTGGCTACCAAATAATGACCAGAGAAGAAAACCACATACCTGTCCCCATGGCTCAGCCTTACCCTGACTGCCCCAGCAATTTTCCAGGAGCCAAAGGCCAAGCCAGTGCTTAAGAGAGACAGGACTTGATCACCATGTGGCAGCCAACTTTGGTAAAATGTGAGCAGATGGCTGTGGCACAGTATCAGGCTCCATGGATGGCAGGGGGCAGTGGGCAGCTTTTTGGAGACACCCTCACCAGGCCCCTATAAAGGCTTTATCTGAAATAGAGATCACATTCAAACAACATCTAGTCTCTGCATCAACAGTTATCATCCCTGTTTCTGCATCTAAATAGTCATCTGAAGACTTCTAGAACTCTGCTTCTAACTTGACCCTTACTCTCAGGGAGTTAAATGTTCTGAAGTGAGATCCAGGAATTAGAATTTCAGAAGCTTCCCAGATCATTTTGGTATGAAGCCAAGGTTCCAAACCACTGCCCCAGTCCTCTTAAGACTTAAAAGTGATCTGTGCATGGCCTAGGAAACCCAGCATACATGCCTAATGCCAGATTAGGAAGGATGGGAAAGAAACACTTCCTGCCTGGACATTATTCATGCTCATTGCTACTGCCATCCTCCTTTCTCTCTGCCTCAGGCCCATTTCCACTGTACTTTCAACAGAAACCAGGATGCACCCAGGTGTCTTTATTTTGGCTACAGGGCAGCAGTTTGATAAACATGCAAGTTTGCGACACTCGTTGTTTAACACAGAGACAGCTGTGAACCCCAAGTCCACCCTGAGGCGGAGGAGGACCATTATTGGATTCTCTAACTATTCCCAGCGAGACCAAGGTGACCTCACCACAGCTGATCCTCCAGACCCTTCCCCTTACCCATTCCCACAAATCCTGCCACACACGTGGCACTGTGGTGAGGGAGAACAAGAACAATTCAGGGGGATGGCGCTTTGGGATGTCTTGAGGAAGCCAGTATGGTAATTAGAATTGCCAAGGGCCTCCTGTCAAGGGCAACAAATGGTGAAGAGCAGGATTCCTGGGCTATTAAATTCATCACATTATTGTGTCCCATTATCAGTGTAATTAAACTTGATGTGGTGGTATACACCTGTAATCCCAGCATTTAGGAGGCTGACAGAGGAGGACCACAACTTTGAAACCAGTCTGGGCTACATCATGAGTTCAAGGCCAACCTGGACTACATAAAGAGACCTTGTATCAAAAAATAAAGAATGAATGTAATATAGCTACATGTGCTGAATTTAGGCAATTAGATGTGGGGAGATGATCAGTGAAACTAACATTTTAAGAGAACCATTACTTCTGGGCATGCTGGCTCATGCCTGTAATCCTAGCACTAAGGAGGCTGATGCAGGAGGACTGCCACAAGTTCGAGGCCAGCCTGGGCTACATAGTGAGTTCAAGGCCAGTCTGAACTATAAAATGAGACCCTGTTAGAGAGAGAGAGAGAGAGAGAGAGAGAGAGAGAGCACCATTACTATTATTACTAAAAGAACAGACGGGTGGGGATGCAGTCAGTGGCAGAGCACTTGCCTAGCATGTACAAGGCCCTGAGTTCAATCCTGTTGCTATAAAACAAAACTACAGATCAGAGAGCTAGAGATGTGGATTCTGGCCTCTCTACTTATTAACCTTGAGGCCTTGGCCAAGTTACATAACTGCTATGAGCCTCAACTTTTCTCATCTGCAAACTTGGGACAATGATACCAGCATAGTAGAATCATTGTGAGTATTAGAGCCATTTGTGTAATTATTACCATATGCCTGGTATGTAGTTGGTGTTCAACAAATGGTGGCTATTAATAATAATGATGCTGATATAACAATAATTGTGTATATGAGAGAACCTCTGAAGATTTGGAACATCTGAATGGTTTCCTCACATCTATAAATTATCCTAAGTCTTTTATGTTGCAGAGGGAATAAGTAACAGATGCCAAAAATGTAACCAAGCTCTTGGTGTTCCTGCTCTGATATACTCCAGATTCACAGCTGGAGCCAAAAGCCACACTGTGTGGTCCCTAGTCAAGTCTCTGTTATCTCAGGATTGATCAATGCTGAAGTCTGTGATGGTTTTAGGACCCTGGGGAGAAAGTATAGGGAAAACCCAAGGTTATTCTATGTGATGCTTCCACTCTAAAACGGATCCTAAAAGCTTGAACGTTTTTGGCAGCCATGTGGATGATTCAAGGGTACCGTGTGACTCACTTTGTGGTGATGAGAGAGAATCCAGCTTGCCCAGCATCATCTGTGAAAAAGAAAAGCAAAGGAATTCTGACCAAGCTGTTGGCAAATGCTTCTTGGCAAAAAGTTGGTGCTCCTGTCTTGAAACAGCTGATAGGGGATCTCTTGCTGTACCGCTCACCTGTATTTCCCCCTACAGGTCACAGCAGCAGCCCAGCAGGCAGCGTGGATCACTCTACCGCCTCACACGCCAGGCCCAGCCACTCAGCTCCACAACGTGTTCATGGAAGAGTCGCCATTGGGCAGGAAGCTCGGTTCCCAAATCTCACTTCACCAGTACTGAGAAATCTTTCTAGTGAGCCTGAGGACCCTCAGGCACATAGTGACCAAGACCCTCCTAGCATGGAGAGCATGGGAATAGTGTATAGCGTCCCCAGCTCTTGCAATGGGCCAACAGAATCGACGTTCTCCACTTCCTGGAAGGGAGAGGCTTTTACCTACATGACTCCAAGTGCCATCAGCCAGAGCAATCAAGTCAATGAAAATGGAAAAAATCTTTCCTCGGGAAATTCTTGGGTCTCTGTGAACACACACCCGCCCCTTGTTCCTAAGGAGGCAGCTACTCTCTTCGTTGCCTGTGATAATCCAGAAGGATGTAGTGGATTAGCCAGCTACTCTGAGCACCCTACTCAACAAAGGCAAGTACCAAAAAGACCCCACAAGATTGGCCTCCTGACTGGTGGTACCTTGAGGCTGGAGACAGGCCCAGGTGGGGCCAATAGATTCAGGGAGCGGTCTCTGTCTGTGCCCACAGATTCAGGCATCACCGATGGGAACTGTGATCAAGAGCAGAAGGCTAGTGAGGCCTGTGCCCTGCCTTATGCCAGTACAAGCTCTGAGGGCAGCAACAGTGCTGACAACATTGCCTCCCTCAGTGCTGAGCAGGAAGCTCGGCACAGAAGGCAGAGGTCCAAGAGTATCTCTCTCAGGAAGGCTAAAAAGAAGCCTTCCCCACCGACCCGCAGTGTCTCACTGGTCAAAGATGAGCCAGTCCTGTTGCCAGAAGGTGAGTCTGCACTGCCTAAAGACCAGAGGCCAAGAAGCCTTTGCTTTTCCTTGGAACACCAAGGACATCACTCATCCCACCCAGATACTCAGGTTCACCCAGCTGTGCCAACCCTCAAAGATCCAGAAGGTACACAGTTCTCCCATCACTGGTATCTAACTGACTGGAAGTCTGGTGACACCTATCAATCCTTGTCCAGCTCTAGCACTGCCACTGGCACCACAGTCATTGAGTGCACCCAAGTTCAGGGTAGCTCAGAGTCCCTTGCCTCACCTTCCACCTCCAGAGCCACAACACCTTCCCAGCTCTCCATTGAGGTGGAGGCCAGGGAAGTCTCCTCTCCAGGAAGGCCCACTGGACTGATGTCACCCTCCAGTGGATACTCCAGCCAGTCTGAGACTCCAACACCCACTGTCTCCATGTCCTTGACCCTGGGCCACTTACCCCCACCAAGTAGCAGTGTCAGGGTACGTCCAGTGGTACCTGAGAGGAAATCATCATTACCTCCGACATCACCAATGGAGAAAATTTCCAAGTCACGGCTGTCATTTGACCTACCACTGACCTCTTCAACTACCCTGGATCTGTCTGGGATGAGTATCTCCATCCGCAGCAAAACCAAGGTGAGCCGCCATCATTCAGATACCAATTTTGCGGCAAAGCTGGCACAGAAAACTAGTCCCAACCAGCCGATCATGCCCATGGTGACTCAGTCTGACCTACGTTCTGTTCGCCTAAGGTCAATCAGCAAGTCTGAGCCAGAAGATGATACTGAGAGCCCAGACTACACTGAGGAACACGAAGCAGAAGAAGTCTTTTCCTTGCTGGAGAGAAAAGTGAAACCTCCCATAGCTGAGAAGCCACCACTGGCCCGAAGGCCCCCAAGCTTGGTCCACAAGTCACCATCTGTCCCTGAGGAATACCCACTAACTTTGCCTACCTTGGCTATGACCCCCAAGAGCACCACTCAACATGTGAGGCCACCCCTCCAAGAAAGCTATACGGTGGTTCGGAAACCAAAGCCCCCTAGCTTCCCTGACAGCAGAAGCCCAGGGGAACCAACAACACCCTCGTCTCTTGTTTTCACGCCTTTTCCAAGTTCCTCTGGTGCTTTTTTCTCAGGAACACAGCGACCTCCCGAGGGAAGTATGGAGGATGAGGGCCCCAAGGTGAGAGCCTTGCCTGAAAGAATTAGCCTCCAGAGCCAGGAAGAAGCTGAGAAAAAGACAGGAAAGATTCCACCTCCTGTACCAAAAAAGCCCAGCGTGCTCTACCTGCCTCTCGCCTCCCCTGTATCTCAGATGGAGTTCCACGTGGCAGAATCAAGGCTGCCGCTGAGCCCCATCATCACCCTGGAGGAAGATACCAAGTGTCTTGCCACCGGAAGTGACCTGCAATTACCTGGTAAAAGAATGACTTCCGCTCTGCAGGCTGACAGAAAAAAGGCAAGCTCTCCAGGTTAGTAAATTGTCTGCTGGCCTTTTCTTTCAACCCCAGGAGGGATGAGAGTGAGGAAGTGCTGCCAGAGACAGAAGCAAATGCCTGAGAATAATTATCCTCATCCTAGGATGACCAAATTGCTAGGGGTACCCCTTGAAGCTTTGGGTTACTCTAATAGGAATTGCAGGTTGGCCTTCTTTTCCTCAGGATCAGGACTGACCAGGGGCAGATCTACAAAGACAGGTCTAGTCAGTGTTTGCTACATGGGCAGTGATGATTCTTTGTGTGAGCCACCTGTGCCCAGGGGAACATGTGTTGAACTGTTTAAACTTTTAAATTTAAACTATGTTTGTGTTTTTAGTGATGATGCTTTAGGCTCAAAGTTCAAGCAATGTGTTATTATGTTTAAACTTTTAAGTTTAAACTGCATTTGTATTTCTTAAATGCAAGCTTAAAAAAAGAAAGGCAACATTTAACTTGTTCTCACATTGTTCAAATATTTCTGAGTTTCTGAAGACTTACGGTAAATTAACATTTTTTGAATACCTGTGTGCCAGGGACTCCTCTGCCTGTATAGTGTTATTAAGACTATACTATTATTATTTTTTGACATTGAACTTGATTGATTAAAATAATTTCTGAGCCAGTCTACCCTTGGTTCAAATGCTGAGATAATAAAATCAAACTGGACTCTAGAACACTAGGACTTCAGGATCCCATCTACCCAGCCAGGAATGCATCCCCTACCCTAGGACTCCAACTCACTGTACCATACTTTTTCATCAGCCACACTAAATTTACTTTCACTCACAGGACTCAGTACCTCCCAGACTGAGTCCCAGTGCTTTGGTAGGATTGGAGCCTTCTGAAACAATGGGCCACAGTGCTATCCACAGCTTTTCTTGGTACCTTGTAGTAGAAAGGGAGCTCACTTTCTTGGATGGCTTGAGCTTAGCTCTTTCCTGAACTGTAAAACTAGGCCACTTAATGATTCTCATCCTTTCTGTTTGTTTCTGTGCCTTTGTTTTAATTGTAAAATACATATAGCATAGCATTTACCATGTTAACTGTTTTTAAATGTACAGTTCATTACAATAAAACAAGCAAGCAAAGTCAGGCAAAGTCAGGTGGTGCACACCTGTTATCCCAGCATTCTGAGAAGATGAGACAGGAGGATCACAATTTTGAGCCCAGCCTGGGCAACTTAGTGACCTAACAAAACCCTGTCTCAACATTTTAAAAAATGTGGGCTGGGGATTTAGCTCAGTGGTGCCGCCGCCTGCCTACCAAGCGCAGGGTTCCAAGTTTAATCCCCTGTACCCCCCCAAAAAAAAGTTTTTTTAATTTAAAAAGGGCTGGAAATATAGCTCAGTGCAAGGGACTTGGGTTCAATCTCCAGCACCACCACCATTACAACAACAACAAAATACCCACAGATTATTTTAGAACATGCTTCCTCAGACTCCACAGGTTCCCTCTGAGATTCAGACAGGTCCTTTTCTCTCCCACTGGATGAGAGTCATTGCTGTACTTGATCTTAGCTAAAAGGCCAAGAAGCGTTAGAAGATCATGGCTTTAGACTGCTCTAGGCTCTTTGGTTATTAAAAAATGATGTATTCAAAACAAGAGGGGCTGGGTGTGTGATTCAGAAGTAGATCACTTGTCTAGCATGCATGAAGCTCTAGGTTCTATCCCCGATAATAAAAAAATAAGCAAATAAATAAAAATAAAATGAGAATGCTCAGGCCACCTGTTGCACTGAAAAAGGCATGGGAGGTCAGGGACCGACGCCAATCTTCACCACTCCATCTAGGGCAGTCATTAAGGTTCTGAACTTCATGTTCTTCCTGTACAAAATGAAGATAATAAAAAATCTCTGCCCTGCTGCCCTTACAGAGTTGCTTTGAACATCATGTGAAATAATAAATAAAAATGAAGTGCTTTGCCTTATCTATTATGGTCAAAGTCATTCCTTCTGGTTCTTATGCTTAGGGAGTTCTGTGGAACCGAGCACTGAAGAGAAGAGTTTAATCAGTGATAAAACAGCTGAATGGATTGCGGAGGAGGATGATGACGTCTTTGTGGCTGCACGCACAACTGAAGATTTATTTACTGTGATACACAGGTCTGAACAATTTTCCTTCATTCTAATTGCAATTTCCTTCTGTTTTTCTCCTTAAAGAAAAACTGCTACTTCTGAGCAGCCATTAGAATTGCAACTGGAGACTGTGTTCAGATACCCGCGTATGTGAGCACAGTGCAGGGCCTCACATCTCGCATTCACTGACATCTTTGGGTAAAGAGGAGGATGGGAGGGAAAGGAAGGGGAGGACCAGGTGCTGAAAGAGAGGCCCCTCGTCTCCTAGCAACCGCTTGGCCTATTGTGGCTCCATCTGCTCTCTCACAGCTCTGTCTGCAGTCAGAGACATTTAACCCTTCACAGAATTCCTTGTACCATAAAATTCCATCAAAAAGTGATGTAAGGCACTGGGCAGGATATCAAAATAGCAACTTGGGGAAAGGGGGAACAGATGGAATGCAGGGACACAGGCCAGGGCTTGGTGACAAGAAACCTGCAGAGTTTCTTGCAGAGTTTCAGAGATGAAGCACCAGTTCAGAATAGGATCAGCAGACCAGTCACTGAGCACTAGCCTTGACTCCTTAAATTTGTCCTCAGTCTTGGAACCCCAGCAAGACTGAGCCCAGAGGCACAGGCCCAGTGACTCCAGCTGTGGGCATTGAAAGGCATGTGTAGCTGGGTGTGGTTGTACATGCCATGGCGGCACGCATCTGTAGTCCCGGCTACTCAGGAGGCTGAAGCAGAATGATCACTTGAGCCTAGGAGTTTGAGCCCAGCCTGAGCAACAAAGTGAAAGAGACCTCATCTCAAAAAAGACAAGAAAAGACAAAAGGAGTGTGGAGGACAAGAGGCCCGACTAGGGACCTGGGGGCTTAGAGACGAGAAAGAAAGTGTTCCACAAGATGTGTGCAAGGCTATCGTAAGCACATTCTCAATCACACCTTTAGCAGGAAGTTCTGTGAAATATTAGTAAATATCTGCTGCCTGAACTCACTCAGACCAAGCTTTCTTTTATTTAGGTCCAAAAGAAAGCTGCTTGGCTGGAAGGAGCCTGGGGAGGGCTTTGCAAGCAGCCGACCGAGCTCTCACTCACCAGGAAAGAACACAGCCGATTCTCCCATTAGTGAGTCTACTGCTGCTGCTGCTGCTGCTGCCACCACTACCATGGGATCAAGCAGCAGTGCCAGTCTAGACGTGGGCAGAAACGATGATTTCAAGGCCTTGCTCCAGAAGAAGGGAAGTAAGGCAACTCCGAGGTCCCGGCCCTCAGCAGCCGAACTGCTGAAGACCACTAACCCGCTGGCTCGGAGAATCATTGCACAGTTTTCAAATGACTATGAAACCACTGATAACCCCAGTTCCTAAGCCCTGGCTTCAACAGGCAGGGCTTACTTGCTCAATTTGAGATTAGGGAGGGATAGAAAGGGTTTGGGAAGGGAACCATGGAAATAACAAAAGAGCCTGCTTTTTCAGACATTAACTTACACTCTGGATGGCAGGAGAGAGGCCATTTCAATTAGAGCTGAGACCATCAGGCACTTGAATCATCTTTGGACATTTTGCATATCCACACTTTCACCCTTATCAGGACTGAAGACCAAGTCTCTTCCTTTTCCTCCACTGGTGTGCACCAAAAAAGAAGAAATTCTCAGATGCAAGGGCTCATGTGCCACCTTTTCAGTCTGTGTCCTGGCTGCTCCATCCCTGGCTCCTGTCACTGAGGAGCACAGTGCGAGAGCAGATCCGAGGTTGACAACCTCTGGGAGTGAGGCAGAAGGTGTCATTGCTGATTATTCACTCTCCTAGGTAGGACTTGGTGGCCATATGTAGAGACACAGAAAGACACACCAAGGCTCCTGAACCACAGTGGGACTCTTCCAGGGAGAGTTTCACAGTTGTGCACTTGTTTCAGCATGGGGTTGATTGGATGACCTTTGTGGTACAAAATATGAATGTGACCCTGTCCTGAAACTTCATTCCTTTTTCAGTTTGATTGTCTACACGGAGATCAGGGTGATGTGTTTCAATACATTTATAGACTGACACCCCCCACACACACTGCTGCCACTGCCCATTAGGTAGAAAAGGTCAGAACTGCATGGCTTTGGATGAACCAAGTTCAGCCAACAAATGAGGCAGCCATGTGGTCACTCAGATCTGTCCAAGCAACTTGCACATGCGTCTTGAGGTCCTTCACGTGTCTGCCAGGATCTGTGCCTAGCTCATGCTACATTCTAAGAACTCTCATTTCATTTGCATGTAACATTCATTACAGGAAGTAATTAGCTGAAGGATCAGCATCATCAAAGGCTCAAGGAAGATAGAAAGTAAATTCATCTTGCTCCACACTATTCAATTCAGATCGCATTTTGTGGTTGATTGGATTTTGATTAAGGAAGTCTGACTCTTCCAAAAACTAAGAACCTATAGACTAAAAGTATCTAGCCAAAATCTAAAAGGCATCTTTGCCAGTTGCCATGGCCCACAAAGCACACAAAAATGGGCCACTTTTTGCTATTTACATTCTGTTTGACTAACTTTCAGTTAGCTGGGAAAGAATGTAAGAACTCAGAGACATGGGATACTGCAGGAGTTCCAGAACAATCGTTGTGACTCCCTTCCCCTCCAAAGCCTAATAGGCACCTAACTATTCTTGTCAGCTCAGTTTTCTAAGGACAGCAAGAGCAGTGACTCATTTGATTTCCATATGCCTGATTTTTGGGATCTTGGGGGTCAGACAGACCCCCAAGCTTTTAAAAAGACAACCTGCTGACCAATGTTGGAAAGTTCATTGTCTGCTCATCCCAAGAGGCAGAAAGAAAAGTCAAATGAAATTGTAACTTGCTTCACAGAGTCTTCTCCAACCCCTTCCTCTTTCACTACTGAAGCCAACAGATTTGTTTGCATCCAGGTTGCAGAGAGAGACAAAAACAGATCTCAATTTTGGTAGGTCGAGTTTGTCATCAACAAGAAGCAAATGCTCAGCTCAACTACCCACACTCCAGGCAAACAAAGCAGCTGAGAAGCCACACTGAGTTCTGAGAAGATGTGGGCTTTTCACATAGAAACCCTGGGGCTAGGCCTTTGGTTGATCTAGTTCTGAAATCTAGATTCATGGGAACAGGCAAGGCCCACCTACTGTCTTGCAATCAGCATTTCCCTTGATTTAGAAAGAAGCCATTTAAAATAATAGATGAATAATAATGAAAGCCCAGTTGCTTTTGAAAGTATTTGAACTATTTATTTTGAAGGTCTTAACCAAGTTTCAGAGATTTTTGCCTGAAATAAAACGGATTCATTCCCGGCCTTGGTTTATGTGTGAATGCCACACTTACCTGGCACAGACTCAGAATCAAGACAGAACCATTTTCCTCTGTCCCTACAGAGGAATGAAGGAGCATTTATGCTTTTGCCTAATAAAATCAAGAGGCTTCCGGAGCCTTCTCCTTAGGAACCATTATGAATTACCTATAGCTGAACTCTAAAGTATGAGAGAATGGGATTCACATTGTATAGGACCTCTGTTACTTCTGCTGAGTTTTTCTGGAAGCTTTTTATTTACTTCCAGTGGGTTTTTCCCTCTCCCCTTACATTGCTACCTCTGGAGATTTTCCCAAGATTCTAAAGCTGGACACCCAGAACCTCAATGTTTTTCAGTTACCTTTATTCTTGTTTTCCTCTACAAAATTGTATGCCTGGAATTATTAGAACATTTTCTGCATCATTTCTGTAGCCCTCACATGCCCACTTAATGTCCCCATTAGTTTAAGAGGATTTGGAACAGATTGTACAGTCAGAAATAACACTGAGGACTAGAAATACTCATTTAATACTTTGCATCAGTGCACCTAGTTCCAAACAAACAACCAAAGCATAAAGTTTCTAATAATCACTGATTAACAGAACACCAAGCATCTTTCCTACTCCTAACACTCAACCACTCTCTGCCCTTGATTATCAAAACACCAACTCTCTCTCCCACCTAGGCACTTACCAGAGTGTTTGCTGCCTTCTGAGCCCACTCTGCCTGCCAAGATTGGAGAAGACAGCCCAAAGCCCCTCTCAGGAAGGCTTTCAGAGAAGCTACTACTACTATTACTAGTAACAAGTAATTATGAGGATAATGTTTCAAGGTGAAATATACAAGAAGTTGGAAGGAAGCAGAGTTGACCCCAGGAGGTCAGCTTCCACTTCAAGCCGTTGCTGTATCCTTGTTTCCCTCCACTTCCAACCAATAGAGCAGTTGGCTATGCTAGACTGGGCTTCATTGGAGTCAGGAGTAGAGGGAGCCATCCTTGGGAGAGGCAGTAAATTGATATCTAAGAATGCTTTGCACTTGGTGGGTATTCACTACATATTTGTGGCTCAGATGGGGGAGATAGAGAGCATGTTCTCGGTATACTAGCAAGCTTTGTTGGCGTCTCTGCTTCCTGGGCTGGGTCTCGTGCCTGGGCCTCCCACATGGCCTCTTCAGCCCCAGTACCAATGAATTTTATCCCTAGCCAGAAGCTCAGTCATGAAGGAAACAAGGCCATAGGCAGCCAACTAGTCCACATTAGTTTAAAGACCACAAGTTGACCAGCTGATCTGGAAAAATTACCTTGAATGTGCAAAGACAGGAGAACTTCCAAGGCTCTCCTAATAAGCATTTTGCCTGACATCCATTTTATCTGGATAGATCATACAGATCCAATTTGCCATTTCTCAGTATCTGTCATTTTGAACAGACCTGTCCATGCAACTGCCACCTTCCTCATTTCTGAATGAGTTGGGAAAAAGACATGTTCATGCTCAGTTTCTCACTTGTTCAACCTGCCATGTTTGCCAGGTTTGTGACACAATGGTGAGCTTTCACTCTACTATGATTTGCCAGGGCCAGGACTAGGGTGAGATGAGCAAGGCACTGTGGGTGCACACTTTAAGGAGGCACGTGCTCATGGGGCTATGCGAGTGCCTCGCTCTTGTCCCAGCCCTGTGACTTGCACTCTGTAAGTAACATCAGTTTTCCTTTTTCCAAGTATCTTCTTATTGGAGAGGGGAGTGACTCTCTGTTCCAGACAAAATGTTTAATTGCTATCTATTTTTCCATTCATTGCTAGAAGCCTTTGTATGCCTACTCATTAAAGAACCTTCAGTATTTGAGGAAAACATAGTTAATTTCTAAGTTACCTGCTCTATATGGCAAGTTAGCACCCATTTCAGTAGAAACATCCACAGAGACAGCTCTTCAGCAAATAGGGAATGAGTTGGAGGTCTGTCCCTATGACCCTCAGTTTCCTTATTTCTGCTCACTTTTCCCCCTGACTTTGCATCCTGGCATAGATTCTCAGCGCCTCCTACTTTGTTCTCCTCCTCCCTAAGAAAAACATGCTCTCAGGAAAGGGATAAATTCATTTACTTTGAGATTATAAGGCTTAATGCCACCTCTTTTGAGGGTCGCTTGCATTTTAACAGGGGAAAAGCCTTACACCAAAGGAATGATGTTCTACTTGCAGAATATTAGACATCAGCTAGTTGTAGAAGTGGTTTGTTTGTTTGTTTGTTTGTTTACTATGGATAGGCCAGATTCTCTGACAGCTAACTCCAGAGCATAGAAAAGACCTTTATCAATGTGGTTAGTAACTGATGGTCAATTAAATAGTCCGAATACCCAGAGCTATTCAATATGGTTATTAATAAGGGACTCTCAGGAATGGCTACTAAAAGCCACTGGGAAGGCCTAGATTATTCATTTTGTACATTAACATGTTTACGTAAATAGACTTAATACCATTTATCATTTGAGTAAAAGAACACAAAGATTTAAGGAGGTTGTGAATATGTGTCCTATTTGTGAAGGGTGAAAAACTGATTATGTCCAGTCAACATCAGTCATACAGTATTAGTAGTGATTATTTAACTTACTGGAGATTCAACTTTATTAAACCCATGCCTCTGCTTCCCCACCAAGCTATTTATCTCTGTTATGTGCAATCACTTCAGCTTGATGTGAGAATGAGACCTGTACCACAACATCCATTTCCTTCAAAGCCTTCATCTGTATTTCAGCTATAAGTGACAAAGATATTAGGGATTTAAAAGGATGACAGAGTGGGAAGGAGGTACAAAGAAGTGCCTTTGTCGAAGGGCAGCAAACAGTATAATGATGTAAACAATTATGTGAAATAAGCAACATTTTAGAATACTTGGAAATAGATTTATAGAAGACTACAGTAGAAAATGGTTATGGACATATGTTTAGGGCACTTTTTATAAGTTAAGCAAAAAGAAACTTGCACGAGTAATGGGTTACATAAAATAGGTAATACTTTTGTTCAGTAAAGTGCAAAAATCTAGGCCAGTGGTTCCCAGGACCAGCAACAGCAGCAATCCTGGTATGTGTCTGTCTGTGTGCGTGCATGCATATGTGCGTGAGTGTGTGTGTGTGTGTGTGTGTGTGTGTGTTTTCCAATGATACTACTCTTTCAAGCCCCTGAATCACTATAACCAGGACTCCATCTGATCCCAACCTTTCCCATTGTTTGAGCTTTCATGACAGTGATCAATCTCTGACCAAGAGATGTACTATAGAATCATCTTGTTGGTCAGGCACACATTTGTTTGGTATTAAGAAATTATTAGATTGAATCAACTCTGCAATCAATTCCATCTGCAAAACCTTTGGTTTGTCTTAACTAACACATTTGGCCTGGTTTAGGTTTTTAAATTTTTTTAACTCACAAATAGAGAAAAGGGAAAGATGTTTGGCTCATTTGGTATTACCAACCCTTAAATACTCATCCTCATCATATTCTCTGGGAGGGCTCTGGCAGAAGTATAATTGATTTTAAGGTTTTGCCTAAAGAGGGGAATTTGATAGCAACCAACTCCACAACAAAATTTGAACCAGAACAACCAGTTAACCCCTCTCAGCTTCTTTGTAATGCCAAGCTTTATAGAAATTTTATTCTGTATGTGGTCTTGAACTTTTCTTAATGTCCAATTTTATAAAATGTTATGCATGCAAATGCAGCATTGTGCTCATTGTACCAGCTACCTTAAACTCATTCCCTCCTTCGTATGTATGATGGTGAAGAAATATCAATATGTATGTTCTGATGTCTCCTGATCCATTGTAAATTATAAACCTTTTCATTAATTTTTAAATGAGACATATTTACTCTGGCTAGTAGTTACACTTTTATTCTTTTTATTATATTTCATTGCTACTTTTTTCTACTGACTCCAAAGCTTGCTTTGGGGAATATTTCTTATTTCTAGATTGTTGTATTTATCTTATCTCTATAATTATCTATAGTCACAGAATGTTAGAGCTGAAAGGGACCACCCTTTCTCATTTTGTAGATGAGGAAACCAAGGCCAGGAAAGGTCATATAGCTTATCTAAGGTCATGTAGCTAGTCGAGGCAGGACTTCGCCTCAATTCCAGGTCTCCTGCATCTGGGCCTAGTGTTTTGCCATTTAAAGCACTACCGCTGTAGAAAATCCACCGCTGGCTTCTACTTTTATGACTCATGAATTTCCTAGGTTAAAAAAATTTTTCTTTAAAGGAAAAATTCTCCAGCCAGGTATTTAGCTCAGTGGTTCCACTGCCTGCCTCGCAAGGGTAAGAACCTGAGTTCGATCCCTGGTACCAAAAAAAAAACAAAAACAAAAAAAAAAAACCCAAAAAAACAAAAGAAAAGACAAATGCTCAAGAGTTCTGCAGTTCATGAATCCAAAGATAAATCTGATTTTGTTTAAAAACTTTCATTTCTCTCCACATTCAGTATCTGTGCCCTACTTTGTACAATGGATGTTTCCCTAAAAATTGTGTGAAAAAATGAATTTTTATAGATCAAATTTCATTTTGTAGTAGAAGAAGCTTCCTATGTAAGAGAATCTTCTAGGGGCTTCTTTGAAAAAACTAAGATTTCTCTTGTCATTGTCCCTTAATATCCCTACTTAATTTTTAGTGGTACAGTATATTTTGCATTCAATGTTTATTTAAAGTAGGGCAAACCAATATTAGCCTTCCTAGAATCTACTTTAATCTTCCCATCCTAATCTTTTTGAGAAAGTTTCCAGACTGTTACATGCTCATGAGATACTCAATTGTGTTCTAGAAACTTTACCTACCTTAGTATTTTGTCAGTCCCTGGGCTCAAACTCCATTTTATCAAACAGTAACAGAGTTGGTTTCCTAATCAGTGCTGAGCTCTGTATGCAGTCTCTTTTCAAGAACATTCTTTGCCTAACGTTCCTTGGTGTGGCTCTCTCTAGCTTTTCTTGGGCCTCTTTCCATAGTTCATGCATAGGTATGGCTGTTTTGTGAACGCACTCTGGGCATACTGAGGACTATGCTGGTCATATTGAGTGGCTTTTCCCATTATTTCCACTGTTGCCTGCTTTTCCTAGACCTCTTCTGGCATGTTGAGAGACTTCTCATTAGAGATTAATGGGCATTCCCCCATCATCTAAACCAGAGATTGACACTTTATGCAAAGGGTTATACAGTAACTGTTTTAGGCTTTGTGGGCCACATAGGTTCTGTGTAACATATTCTTGGCTGTTGCTATTTGTTTGTCCACTCATTTGTTTTATGACCGTTGGAAATTGTAAAAACCATTGTCAGTTCATGGCTATGGCTGATTTGGCCCATTTGTCGTTGTTTGCAGACCCCGATCCAGACTATCGTCTGGGACAAGCATTTCTTTGACTTGCCCCATGTGATGAGTGGGTTGTGTACCTGATGGTGTGTCTCGTTACCCTCATATCTACTGCACTGTCTTTGCAGTCTGAGCACGCAGGGCCAGGTGGAGGGGTGCCATAGTGTAACCCTCTGGGGCCTCCCCCCTCCATATTACTGACTACCTCAGTGTAGAAACCCTCATTCTTTTCTTGGGACCTGTCCTCATTTTTTAACATGCTCTGTTTCCCCAGGTGTGGGGTAAGCCGGTAGGAAAGAATGAATTTCTGAGTTTTATTATTGCCTTTGTCTGGTCATTGCTCCCCCTACCCTGTCCTGCCCCATGGTGCCATCATGAGTTTGAGTCTGTCATTGGAAAGTTAGCTAGCACAGGCCATAAAGGTTCCAGTCTGGTTTCCTAGAGAGATCACCAGCTTTCCTGGCCCCAAAAGCTGACTTTAAAGCCCATGCCCATCTATCTTCTAATGTGGCTAGAACTTCCACAAGACAGAGCACTCAGTGCCAGCAAGAAAACCAATGAGGTACAATCTTATGCCCGGTTTTTCCCTGCCTCCTGGGTCCCAGCCCCCTGGAGTGGGCTCCTTTGGATGCTCCTTGGAACAACACAACCAGTAGGTACTTAGCACACCACCTCCTCCTGTTTTCTGAGCCTTTAAAATTATTCTCTAAAGCTTCTTTGCTTCTCTCTCCATTCTGCTCCCATCTAAACTTTTCATGTTTCTTGAAGGTCAGAGTCACATTTTCACATTCACTTGTGTAAATAGTGAGGGATATCAGTGGATGAGGAGGTGTGTGTCTATGTGTATGAGTGTGGTTTCTCTACCTGGAATGTGAAGACCTCATTGATTAATGTATCACATTCATGGGGACACACATGCACGCATGTACCCACCATCCAGCAGTCTCATTGACCCTCTTGTCCAAGGTCAAGTCTGATGGGACTGGTCAAGGAGAGAATGGTGGGGCCCCTGGGGCATGTCTCTTTTCTTGTCTTTTGAGGGCTTTTATTAGTTGGCTTGTGCTGGCCCTTCCCCAGGGAGACATTTGAAGAAACTCCTCAGTAGCACTTCTGGACAGGGCGGTGAGCCAGGACTTCATTTCCAAGTGGACTGAGCTACTCAGACAGATCTCTCAGGCTGCAGCTTTTCCTAGCTTAGCACATTTTCTTCTTAGGACCTTTAGTTCGATTTCCTATCATTTGAGCCCAGGGATCAAATTTTTACTGAAATCTAAATTTTTAAAAAATCGTATACATGAGTAACATCCAGGTTTTCCCTATTTCAAAACACTCATGAAACAGTTCCTTTCTGCCTTCTGCTTAGGGTTTCCAGAAGTAGGAAGGAAACCAGGTTGTGCCTTGGATCCTAAAGCAGTGAAAGTACTCCCCTTGCCAAAAGCAAAATGAGGACTGAGCACTGGCCAGTCCGACACAGACAGGCAGTGGACTTCTGCTAAGTTAGCACTTACACTTCAGTGCTTACTGAGCACCAATAATGCACTTAAGACACACAAGGGAGGTAGGAGTTTATATACCAGCGTTCTAAACTGGAAGGCAGAGATAAGGCAACACCACATGATGAGATTGTGTCCCTGGATTAAAATTCAAGAAGAAGCAGAAACAAGGCAAGATCACAATCCTAGTCTATGTAGGAGTCCAACAAAATGGAAGAGAGCCCTCTGTGGGGTAATATTACACAGTTTTCTTGTCTCTTCTTTTTCTTTTATTTTTTAAAAGTATTTCTTACTGGCTTGCTACCAGCAATTGAATTATACTCTTTATATAGCTAGAGCTGTTTGTGTCTTCTTAAAATAAACTTTTTCGTGTTAAAATTATCTTACGCTTCACACTCTGGTTTTCATTGTAACAACGATGCCTTTATTCAGACACTAAAACCCAGATCACGGACATGTTCGAACAACCACATGTGTGTTACCAAACCAAGCCCATTTTACCCACCTGCCAGTATACCATTCACTGAAATGTCAAGTTTTGCAAAAGAGAAAGTTTATTCGTGAACCATTTAAGCATGAGAAGATAGGACACCCTCTGACCTCAACGGGTCACTCATTGGACACCTGTGCACAAAGGAAGAGCTGGTGGTTTCAACAAAAACAGCCTTCAAGTCCCTGAAGGGTAAACTAGGCAACCATTATCATGACCCACATGTCAGAGATGTTATCTACAGCAAAGTGGTGGGAGAAAACCAGGTGTGGGGTACATGCCTGTAATTCCAGCACTCTGGGAGGCTGAGGCTGGAGGGTCACAAATTCAAGCTCAGCCTGGGCAATTTAGCAGCTTAGTAAGATCCTGTCTCAAAATTTTAAAAGGGCTAGGAACGTAGCTCAGTTAAAAGGGCCTGGATTCAATCCCCAGAGCCACAAGGGGAAAAAAAAAGATGGTAGGGAGACTAATAACATATTTGCTCAGTTATGTGACCTCCAAAATTCCTGATTTTTAAAGTCAACTAAAAGCAAGTGAATAGGCATGGCGATGCCTGCCTGTAGTCCCAGCACTCTGAGAGTCTGAAGCAGGAGGAACACAAGTTCAAGCCCAGCCTAGACAACTTAGTGATTTAGTGAGATCCTGGCTCAAAAAATGAAAAAACTAGAGATGTAGCTCAATGTGAAGGCCTTGGGTTCAATCCCCAGTACTGAAAAAAAGATAAAAGCAAGTGAATCTAGAGAGTTTATTCAGGTCTTCCTTGGTTTCATGTGAGGCCTACATACATTGGAGTTGATGTTCACAAGCCCCTCAGAGCCCCAAACAAACACATGGCACATGGGCAGATAATTCATTTTGAAGGACTTCATTTCTCGTACTCAAGTTCAGCTTCTGATGGAGTGGACAAGGTGGCATGGCTCTGGGGAAGTGGGCAGCCATCATCATGCTCCTGCCAGGGAGGAGGTGGTCTTCCAATTGTCTGCCTTCTTTGGTCTCCAGCTCACTAAAACCACCCAAAAAAGCGGATCACACATAGTCTGGCCAGGTGCAAAAGTACCCAGACCAGATGTGGCTTGGGTCACTTCCATTCATCAAAAAAGGTATGGTTCCACTACCCACATGGTGACAGCTATACGTGAGAGTCAGCTTGGCCCAGTGCTTGCAGCCCAAATTCCCGTCTCCTCAAGCCTCAGCATTAGCTTGTGTCCGTGATGCCACCAGGCTCCTTTTCCAAAGAGATGTAAGAGAACTGAAAACAGCTTACAAAGCAAACACAGAGAAGGGCCTTGGCTGCACACAGACAATAGCAGGTGCTAAAAACTGAAGATATGGGTCAGAGAAGGAAGCTGGCTGTACCAGAGCTTCGTGGCAGGCATTGTGTCAGTGGGACTCTGCAGTTCAAGATCTAGGGCTCAGGGCCGGGGATTTAGCTCAGTGGTTCTGCTGCCTGCCTTGTAAGCACAAGGTCCTGAGTTCAATCCCCGGTACCACAAAAAAAAAAAAAAAAAAGATCTGGGGTTGACCCTGGAAAGCTCAGGACCTTTGGCCACTATATCATGAGTTGATAATGTTTTTAAGAATTTTCCTACACTGACCAAACTTAAATACATGGAAGAGGCAGGTCTTGCTTTAGTAACTAACAGAGAGAGTACACCTTTCAAGCAAAGGCTGTAAATGGAGGCTTGAATGCTGAACTGAACACACATTGTCTAGAATATAGTGTTGGCTACTTTTTAAATTTTTAGATAGGGTGAGGCAAGAGGGGTTGGGTGGCACACACCTGTAACCCCAGAGATCTTGGAGGCTAAGGCAGGAGGATTGAGAGTTTGAGGCCAGCCTGGACTGTCTCTCTTTTCTCTTTCTTTCTTTCTCTTTCTTTTTTTATTGATTTTTTTGAAACAGGGTCTCACTATGTAGTTCAGGCTGGCCTTGAACTCATGGCAATCCTCCTGCCTC